CTATTTTATCTGATATGAGTATTGCTACTCCAGCTTTCTTTTGATTTCCATTTACATGGACTGTGTTTTTCCATCCCCTCACTTTCAACCTGTATGTGTCCCTAGGTCTGAAGTGGGTCTCTTGTAGACAGCATATATGTCTTGTTTTTGTATCCATTCAGCAAGCCTATGTCTTTTGGTTGGAGCATTTAATCCATTCACGTTTAAGGTGATTATCAATATGTATGTTTCTATGACCATTTTCTTAATTGTTTTGGGTTTGTTTTTGTAGGTCCTTTTCTTCTCTTGTGTTTCCCACTTAGAGAAGTTCCTTTAGCATTTGCTGTAGAGCTGGTTTGGTAGTGCTGAATTCTCTTAGCTTTTGCTTGTCTGTAAAGATTTTGATTTCTCCATCGAATCTGAATGAGATCCTTGCCGGGTAGAGTAATCTTGGTTGTAGCTTCTTCCCTTTTATCACTTTAAATATATCATGCCACTCCCTTCTGGCTTGTAGAGTTTCTGCTGAGGAATCAGCTGTTAACCTTATGGGAGTTCCCGTATGTGTTATTTGTCGTTTTTCCCTTGCTGCTTTCAATAATTTTTCTTTGTCTTTAATTTTTGCCAATTTGATTACTGTGGTTCTCGGCGTGTTTCTCCTTGGGTTTATCCTGCCTGGGACTCTCTGCGCTTCCTGGACTTGGGTGGCTATTTCCTTTCCCATGATAGGGAAATTTTCAACTATAATCTTTTCAAATATTTTCTTGGGTCGTTTCTCTCGCTCTTCTCCTTCTGGAACCCCTATAATGCGAATGTTGTTGCGTTTAATGTTGTCCCAGAGGTCTCTTAGCCTGTCTTCAGTTCTTTTCCTTCTTTTTTCTCTCTTCTGTTCCATGGCAGTGAATTCCACCATTCTGTCTTCCAGATCACTTATCTATTCTTCTGCCTCAGTTATTCTGCTATTGATTCCTTCTAGTGTAGTTTTCATTTCAGTTATTGTATTGTTCATCTGTTTGTTTGTTCTTTAATTCTTCTAGGTCTTTGTTAAACATTTCTTGGATCTTCTCGCTCTTTGCCTCCATTCTTTTTCCGAGGTCCTGGATCTTCTTCACTATTATTATTCTGAATTCTTTTTCTGGAAGGTTGCCTATCTCCACTTCATGTAGTTGTTTTTCTGGGGTTTTATCTCGTTCCTTCATCTGGTACATAGCCCTCTGCCTTTTCATCTTGTCTGTGAATGTGGTTGTTGTTCCACAGGCTGCAGGACTGTAGTTCTTCTTGCCTCTGCTGTCTGCCCTCTGGTGGATGAGTCTGTCTAAGAGGCTTGTGCAAGTTTCCTGATGGGAGGGACTGGCGGTGGGTAGAGCTCACTGTTGCTCTGGTGGGCAGAGCTCAGTAAAACTTTAATCCACTTGACTGTTGATGTGTGGGGATGGGTTCCCTCCCTGTTGGTTGTTTGGCCTGAGGCAACCCAACACTGGCGTCTACCTGGGCTCTTTGGTGGGGCTAATGGCAGACTCCGGGAGGGCTCGTGCCAAGGAGTACTTCCCAGAACTTCTGCTGCCAGTGTCCTTGTCCCCAAGGTGAGCCACAGCCACCCCCCACCTCTGCAGGAGACCCTCCAACACTAGCAGGTAGGTCTGGTTCAGTCTCCTTTGGGGTCACTGGTCCTTCCCCTGGGTCCCAATGCCCACACTGCTTTGTGTGTGCCCTCCAAGAGAGGAGTCTCTGTTTCCCCCAGTCCTCTCGAAGTCCTGCAATCAAATCCCACTAGCCTTCAAAGTCTGATTCTCTAGGAATTCCTCCTCCTGTTGCCGGACCCCCAGGTTGGGAAGCCTGATGTGGGGCTCAGAACCTTCACTCCAGTGGGTGGACTTCTGTGGTATGCGTTCTCCGGTCTGTGAGTCACCCACCCAGTGGTTATGGGATTTGATGTTACTGGGATTGCGCCCCTCATCCTGTCTCATTGTGGCCTCTCCTTTGCCTTTGGAGGTGGGGTATCTTTTCTGGTGAGTTCCAGTGTCTTCCTGTCCATGATTGTTCGGCAGTTAGTTGTGATTCTGGTGCTCTCGCAAGAGGGAGCGAGAGCACGTCCTTTTAGTCGGCCATCTTGAACCAATCTCTCTCGGGCTCTTTTTTTTTTTTTTTTCTTGCGGTACGCGGGCCTCTCACTGCTGTGGCCTCTCCCGTTGCGGAGCACAGGCTCCGGACGCGCAGGCTCAGCGGCCATGGCTCACGGGCCCAGCCGCTCCGCGGCATGTGGGATCTTCCCTGACCGGGGCACGAACCCGTGTCCCCTGCATCGGCAGGTGGACTCTCAACCACTGCGCCACCATGGAAGCCCATCTCTCAGGCTCTTTTATACATTAATTTTTTTTTTTGGCCACGCAGCTTGCAGGATCTTTGTTGCCGGACCAGGGATTGAACCTGGGCCTCTTTGGCAGTGAAAGCACGGAGTCCTAAACAGTGGATGCCAGGGGATTCCCTCTTTTATACATTAATTTCTGAGTTACATTCTTGGATGTGAGGGATTCCTCACAGCATGTTGTTGATTTTGCTCACTCTGCAACTGTGTGAAGTTTAGTTTCCCTTCGATTTCGCTGAGTATGGGAAGAGGAGCATACGGGGGCTCTTCGTTTAAAAAATTCTCCGGTGTCCAGACAGGCCAAGGACCTCCTACGTCATGTGCTCTGCGGTGCGTCTCTGAGCACGGACAGTGTTGACCTGGAACAGTCCATCAAGGGAGGATGCTCTCAAGGTCATTCAGTAGTCAAGGAAAAAGAAGAAAACTTCCCGGGATTTGGCGTGGTTGAACCTGGAGGGTTTTACTTTCCACATGCGTGTGTATATGGTTGAGCTGTTTTTACCCCCAGCGACATGAGTTTTATTTAACATAGTCAGTGGTGTCACGTTGAAGCTGGTGTAGACAGGACAGGATGCTTCTGCATGCTTGGGCTGAGCACAGGAGCAGTCAGCACATAAGACACGTAGGGATGCCACTGGTTCCTGTGCGCTGAGTGCGGGGTTTCGTGAACAGTTCTGGTTTGGGTAACAGTTTACGTTAAATAGACGTTTTAATTTTTAACTGTACAAACCATTATGAAGGGAAAGCATCTCAGGACTTCCCTGGCGGTCCAGCATTTAGGACTTGGCACTCTCACTTCCAGGGCTCTGAGTTTGATCCCTAGTCGGGGAAGTAAGATCCCGCAGGCCATGCAAAAAAAGAAAAGAAAAATTTTTTTTTAAAAGAAGGGAAAGCCTCTGTTTGTCACCAGATGCTCTTTTTATTTCTGACGAGTTGCTCTTTGTTCATCAGAAGTTGGTGCCACGCTGGTGAGCAGACCACAGCCGTTTACAACAGATTCCTCTTACAGGATAGCCCTCCGTTGCCAGAACTTGGCGTCAAAAGTTTGTAACCGCTGTTCTTGCTGGGCGCCTCCCCTTTCCAAATGCTCCACCTTGGTTTCTGCCCTGATCTCAGATCTTCACCCTTACTGTGTGCTCAGTTTTTAATAAAGTTTCTTAGTGTTTTCTGAATTACGTTAATAATTAGTCCAAATGAGATACTCTCAGAAAAAAAGGTTCCGTATTAAACTAAGCAACAGCGCCGTGGCCTGGACCCCTCTCCCCGAGGTGCCCGGTGCCCCGTTGACCTCCGGGCTGGCTCTGGTGGCCCTCCCTGTGGTCACCCCGGTCCAGCTTCTTGTGGACCCGCTTCTGTCACCTGGCCTCCCACCGGGTCCTCTCTCCTTCCCCTTCTGCCGTCCCCACTGTAGAAGCTGATTTTTGCAGGAATCATGACCTCAGTCTGCTCTACGTGTGTCCCTGGCCCCCAGAGCCGAGCAGGGCCCTGACCAGTGGGTCTGCGGGGGTGTGGGCAAGCTCTTGGGAGCTCTGCTCAGCATCCTGGGGTCCTCTTCACTCCCCCCGGCCTCCCTTGGCCAGTCCCTCCATGATCCGCCGCCCTGCAGGGTGGTCTCTGTCAACTGCCCCCGAGCCCCTCCTGCAGGCCCTGGTTTTCCCCATAATCCTGGGAGACCTGTGCCTTTAGTTCCCACATTTTGCACTTTACGGAGGAGGAGGTGGAAGCACGAGCCATTTGCTAACTGGCCCAGTCTTTCTGTAAAGGGCGATGCTGGCCTCTTCACCCTTTTTGCTGTGATGCCCGCCTGCATCCCCACACCTCCCACCCGTGACCCTGCCCACCTGCATCCTCACACCTCCCACCCGTGACCCTGCCCGCCTGCATCCTCACACCTCCCCCCTGTGACCCTGCCCGCCTGCATCCTCACACCTCCCACCTGAAAGAGTATTGTGTGCATTCTTCTCTAACTTGCTCTTTTTTAACCTTGACATTATATCTTTGAAATTCACCTTTGGTGATACGCATCCTTCTTTTCCACTGTTGGACGGTGTTCGTTTCTCACTTATCTTTACCCACAGCCCTGTGAGGGAGGAAGAAGTAAACTAGGCAGCACATGGCTTCAGTCCACCAGTCAGGCCTGCACCCTGCAGCCCAGCCAGACCAGGACAGAAGAGGAGGGCGGAGTGGGCAGGACTCACGTTTGCTCAGGGCGGGCGGGGCACTGATGCAGTATAAACTGGCGGCTGAGGACCAGAGGGCTGAGTTGCGGAAAGGCTGCAGAAGTCTCTTCTTCCTGAAACCCTCTTGATGGTCTCATGTGGTGGTGGGTATTGTTACACCTGTTTATGACACGTGCTGGGAAGCTCGCGCAAAGTCACAGACCTAACACGGTGGAAACCCGGGTCTGGGTATAAACAGTGCCACGTATTTGTTGCTGCTTCCCCGTCCTTGGCCCTCATCTCACCCCGGCGGGTGCGCCCTGGGTGTACGGACTTTCTCTGGGGACTGGTTCCCGTCAGGGTCACTGGTCCCACACCCAGCGGGACAGGCGTGGCCGTCAGGGTGGGTGGTGCTGGGCTGGGGGGGGGGTGGGTGTGCGTGCCTGACCCCGGCCCTGACCCTGACCGTGACCCTGACCACGCTGTGTGCTTGCCCACAGGGGATTTCCCAAGAAGGCCAGCAGAACTGCCCGCATCGCCTCGGACGAGGAGATCCAGGGCTCGAAGGATGCCGTCATCCAGGACCTGGAGCGGAAGTTGCGCTTCAAGGAGGACCTGCTGAACAACGGGCAGCCGGTACAGGGCGGGGTGTGCTGGGGTGGGCGGGGTCTGGAGCTGCCCCCGAGCCCTTCCCCCTCCCCCAGGCCTAGGGTCCCGAGTCGCGTCCTCACCGCTGGCCCGGTACCCCGAGCCCCCACGTTCCACTGCGTGTTGAGGCTTGGGTCCGGGAAGTGGGGAGGGGAGAAGGCTGCTTTCTGCTGCCTCCTGTCATGGACCATTCCTGGGGCATCACAGCAGGTTGGAGGGAAGGGAGGGAGGAAGGACTGAGGGTGAGGCCGGGGGTAGGGCAGTGAGGACCTGCGACCTTACAGAGAAAAAGGAACAAATCCCGCTGGAGGGGTAGGCGTGGGGAGAGCCATGCCCCCCGGTGACCTGTCTCTGCCGGAAGCAGTGAATCGGAATTAAAGTTCCAGAAGCAGAATTTGGATTCCAGGCCCTGCAATGCTTCTGCAGAGAAAGTATCTTTCCTTAGGAGACCATGGCTGGAGTCTAGAGTGTTAGGAGACACGGATTCCGTCACCTGAAAGAGGAGGCTTGCTTCCCATCCTCGTTCTAGTCTGTCAGGGCAGGACAGCTCAGCTCAAGGAGAAAATAGTAATTCTGTTTCAAGGCTGCAGAATTGTGAAGTCGACCAGAGTAGCTCTGGTGACAATGTGGACAGATATTTCCTCCAGTGGACCTAGTGTTTCCTTGCCAGTCTTTTTTGTTCGGTTTTGGGGGTTACTGACCCTTTTCTTATCACATCAGAGTACTTCAGGGGGACAGGAAAAGCAAGTCTAGCAAAGGAGATCTCAGGTAGGGGAAAGGAGCCTTTTGTGCTTTATTATGGGGAAATTTGCGCAGCTCTTAAGTAGAAGCAGAAAAGGGCCTCTTTGTATAAAATCTCCCTCACACACCTTTTTCAGGAGAGAGAGTCTCTGTACTAATTAAGTTTTCTAGGAATTGTAATTATCAAGCATTGATGGATAAAAATGTGAGCACAGGCCGCATCTGACCGGGAAGATGGTGACTAGAGGAGGGTGTTGGATGCTGGTTTTAATTATCAGGATCCTGACCTGAGCTCAGGAAGATTAAAATGCTAATGAGTTCCTGTGTTGGTTAGTGATTTCGAAGAGAAGATTTCCACCAAGGGAAAATATATTCTCCCTGAAATAAGTGGTTGCACGTGTAAGTGTACATATTCTGGAAGTTTGCCCTGGCTCTGTCAACCAGAGCCTTTGATAGATTAAAACAAATACTTAAGGGAACTTTTTCAATCCAGGTAGAGGCATCTCTCCAGGTTTTTTTCTTTTTCTTTTTCTTCTTTTTTTTGGTTGTTTGTTTAAATATTCCTGATGGACTAACTCTTGGTTAAAAAGTAAGACTTCTGTAAGCCCTTACGTTATACTACGTGTATTTATTTTTGGTATATATATATCATGTGTCTCGCGTATAAATATTTATTTTTGGTATTTGTCTGTTTAGCAGTGAATGACATTTCCAGTATTTTCCATAGATTTCCACATTTGAGAGTTTAAAAAAGAGAAGAAAAGTAAGGTTTCCTTTCTTAGGAAATGAGACCCTGAAATAGCTTTTTCCTGATGTTGCACATCATTCCATACTTGCTTCTGGCTTCTTAGAGCTCGTCTGTCCAAACAGCGTAGTAGTTTAGAGACAAAACCATGAAGTGACTTTGCTTCCTGGCGGGAGCAGGTACATGTGGTGGAGGCCTGGGTGTCACGCGATGCTTCTGCTCCAAAGGAACGGGGTGACATCGCTCCAGTCCTCGCTGGGATGCTGCTGTAGTCGTCCCTGCAGATGTTAGGAAGGCTTTTAAGAGAGCAGGTATTTAAAACTCTCTCTGAAAACTGAATTCATGATTTTTTAACACACGTGAGAAGATTAAACAGCACCTTACTGCACGAGACATTGCATGCAGCAGACGTTGCCCCCGCCTCTTCTCATCCTCGGCCCCTTCTTTACAAAATGAAATAACTGGGACTTCAGGTCTTTTGTCGTCTGGCACTTGTCTTATTTCTCTTCCCGGTCTCCGCTGGGACTGGAACCAGCAATTGCTGGAAGTCAGCAGTTTACCCAACATATTTTCCTGATGAGATCGTTTCCAGTAGAATTTGTGTCTAGATTCACAAGTTTGGAAGTTTATCTGAAATAACTTGTGCAGGATTTTTGGGGGGTTTATTTTGTTTTTTGGGTTTTTTTTTTTTTTTTTTTGGATTCTGCCATACTAGTTACTCTCTATCTTGAATCAAATGCTTGTTTTTAAAATGCCCCCGATGGGCCGATGGTCATATTAGAGCCAGCGCTCAAGAGCGGCCATCCGCCCAGCAGACAGAACACGAACGTGGACATTTCTCTCGTGTTTGGCCCAGAGCGCCGGCCGGTCGATGCAGAAGCCTCACCGCCCTCTTTGCAGACAGTCTCCCCAAGTAGGCTCGTGAGTCGTGGGTATCAGCTCAGCAGGCATCTGCCACGGCCCCTCTGCCAAGTCCACGTGTGTAGTCATCCTCTGTGGGTTATTGCATGTGCTTGTGTTCACCTCGGATACCCAGCCCCTGGGCAGTGCTGTCAAAGCAGAGAGGACCGTCACTGCCCGCTGGCCTGAAACTCCCTCATCAGGCAGTTCTGAAGCCTGTGGATGGCTATGAAAATAACATTTCCTGTAAAAAGAACATTTTGCTGTTTCAATATCTTTTTTCTCTGTGTTTATCGTCAGGGGTAACTACATGACTCGTACTTTTAAGTGACTTCTCCCCTGTTGCTCAGTCTGTGCTCTATCAGTTGGTGGCTCTCAGGATGGGTCACCCCACCTCCCAACCCAGGGTCAGGACCAGAAGGGCCGGTGAGAGCAGCTGAACAAGGGGAGGAGAGCACTCCTGTGCGCACAGGCGTCAAGGCGGAGAGGGAGCAGTTACAGAGAACGGCCAGCGTGTTTGCCTTTTCAACTCTTTTTCTTAAGGTGTGGTAGCATTGTGATTTTTCTGATTTCTGTGACTTGCTTTGTCTAGAGGTTGACGTACGAGGAAAGGATGGCTCGGCGGCTGCTGGGTGCCGACAGCGCGACCGTCTTCAACGTCCAGGAGCCTGAAGAGGAGGCGGCCAGCCAGGTACCCCATTCCTCCTGGCTCCCCAGGGAAGCAGATTACCCTGTCCCCTCTCCCTGCCCTCCTTGGGGTCAGCTCTGTGGAGAGCAGAGGGCGGGTCAGAGGAAGGAGCATTGTCATCAAGTCAGCCTCCCAGCCAGCGTTTGTTGAGCACATACTGTGCTGAGTGAGTGATGGGATTTATTTCAGTTGGTGACACCTGTTCGTTTTATCTTCTTAGCGATTCGTTTCTCTCCTTTCAAGTATCTTTCTGTTTTTCCTGTCCTGGGCTGTAGTGCAGAATAGGTTTGTGTGGAGGAACATATGTTCACTGACATTGTCTGAAATCACTAGTGACTGTTTCCAGTTATGTTCTTAATGTCTCGTCCAGGTAAAACACCTATGTACGGAAAAGACTGTGTTTTCCTCCACGGATGTAGTTACAAAGCGCTAATCAGCGGAGAACCTGAAGTGCTAACCTTTTGTTCCCCTGTTAACGCCAAAAAATAAGCCACTTCGTGGATCTGATGCAAATAAACTGTTTTATAATCTCCACTGCTTCTGTTTGGAGTCTCCAGATGTAGTTCTGAGATAAAAGAAAGCTTTGTAACACAAGTTTAAAGGATCAAGTAAACTCTTTCTCGTATCTCTTAAGAAATGGATCAGCCTTCAAAATCTGAAAGTTTCTCTGTGTTAAATATTGCTGCCACCACAGCTTCACTTAAAGCTAGAAATCTTGTGAGATGCTTGCTGCTTCTGTACTGGGCTTCACTTCTTTTTTTTCTACCATTACAGGACCCTGGGTCTCCTCATGCTTCTGTAGGGAGTCCTCTGGATGGTCAAAAGGTCACGCTTTCACCTTTCTTTTCTTCCCAGTCTTTCCCTGTATCTGTTTCTTCTCTTCTTCCTCGTTTACCTGTGTATATAGTTAACTGCCACACATTAACTATAAGTACTCCGACCAGTGTCTATTTTCATTTAATATCAGGTGGACAGAATTAACTGCGGTGTGATTTTCTTGTCATTTATTTACAAACTTGAATTTGATTCTGTCCTTTGTGGCTACTCTGAATTTTAAATTGTGAAAAGTTTCTCATTTGTTAAACCTTTGTAGGGGGAAAAAGAGCTAATTCTTAAACTGACTGATTTGATACTATTTAGACAAAACAACTTGTGTATTTTTTGCAGTTTTATTCATACTGTTGAATTTCTTCCTTCAAGGCAACAGACTGTTTTGTAAAGGTTGAGTACCTTAAGGGAAAACCTCGTTAAAACAACCTTTCATTTAATATTAAATAGAGAATATCTCATAATGGGCTGCCTTGTCTTTTACTGTACTTTGTCAGCAAGAGATATGCAGGCTCCCCCTTCACCACCAGAGGATGGCGATGGGGACTTTGCTCTGCCCCTGTGTTTTTCACCAAACATTTGACCGGACCGTCAGTCCTCGGGAGGAGAATGGTTGCTCAGAGCCGCAGAGCTGAGGGAGAGCCCGAGGCTGTGTGGCGAGGGTTGTTAGGAGGAGGGATTGTGGTGCCATTTCTCCATCACTCGTTTGCTAGGAGGCCGAGTGACCTTGCAGCTGCCCCCTGCCTGTGCGGCTGCCCTTCTGAGCAAGTGCCCCACCAGACAGAGGAAGCAGTGTGCCATCATGTTTACTGTTTATGAATGATTTAGGAATGACTGTTGCCTTTTTCTTTCTTCTCCCCACCCCAAGAGAAGAGAGAAGGAAATTCATCTTCATAGTTGGTTTGGTTTTGTTTTGGATCATAGGACTTGAGGACAGTCTGAAATATCATACATACTTACTTCCAGATGTTCTTTGTTTTATATGGAGTTGAATTGGGCACAGGCTCCTTTTTTTAGCTCTGTGGTAAAAACATCACTGTCTTCTGGGTGCCTTACTGGAGAGGGGATAAGACGTGGGGCTTGGGGGACTTGGTACCGCGTGGACCGAGGTCGGTGACGTGACCTTTCTCTCTGATTTAGGAGTACAAAGTCTCCAGCTGTGAGCAGAGGCTCATCAGTGAAATCGAGTACAGGCTGGAAAGGTCCCCTGTGGAGGAGTCAGGGGAAGAGGCTCCCTGTGGGGACGCGTCTGTGGAGAGTGGAGCGGCCCCATTCTTCGAGACGAAGCTGAAGCATTTCAAGATCTTTGAGGGGATGCCCGTGACCTTCACATGCAGAGTGACCGGGAATCCAAAGCCGAAGGTGAGCTGCAACAAGGCTTCTTAAGAGTTATGTTCCCCGAGGATGGGTTTGGCTTCCAGCATGCCACACGCCATTGCAGCGTTAGGGGGAACAGGTGCAGACTAAGCTTCTCAGTACCCGTGATGTAAAACGCTCGAGTTCAGGGCCGTCCTCAGGAGGCACTGGAAACCAGCAAGGGTAGAAGAGTAGAACAGGACAGGACAGAATAGAATAGTAGATTAATGGACAAGGAGCTTTTCATAACCCACATCATTTACTCATATGATGTTGCCATTGTTACACCCAAATTGCAGACGACCGGGCTGAGCTCAGGGGGGTTAATGAACTTTCCCCGGGTCAGAAAGCTGTGAGTGGCCAGGCTTGAACTTGAATCCGCCCGTGCTCTGTACCAGACAGAGGAATAAAGCTACCACAGGTGATGGAAACTGCAGATCTTTAGTCTACAAAACCAAGGCCTCCTGTGTTTACAGAGGCAGTGGAAGCAGGAATACTGTGAGAAAGGGTCCTCCGAGAAGCTTCTGGTACCGAGGATGAGGCCGGCCTGGCCGGAGCCCTGTTCCTGCAAGCATGTGGGGATGCTGGAAGGAGGGAGGGTGGCCCTCTCTTTAAGGAGAGACTGGAATCACTGCTCACTGGCCCCGCAAAGTGGCGAACAGGACTACACTTTTCCCTAGAACTTGAGAGAAGAGAATAAAAGAGGCACCCATGAGAAGCTGAAACTCCAGATTCACACTCTCACAGGATACAGAGCCCAAAGCTGAGAAGTTAATATGAAATTTAGTCCAGGATGATTATAATCCTAAGGTTTCTGGCAGAAGCAAGTAAAAATTGCCCCATAAAAGACTTCCACACTGGGGCCTGTCAGACATCTACAGGGCAGGAGGGGGAAAAAGTGAGTTCACAAGAAAAACTCACAGACCCTGCGAGCAAACAGGGTCCACAGCAAAAGAAACGGGAGAACAGAAGCCACGGTGCCACACAGGATAGAGCCGTCTTGAGGGGACTCCTCTGAAATTACTGTGTTTAAAGTGATGGAAACAATTCTGAAAGGAATAGACACTTTAGTGAAAGAATAGGACCAGAGACAAGGCACATGTAAAATAAGCATGCAAAAATGAAAACTATACTCCCTGAAATTAACATTTTAACAGGGGCTGGTGTAAAAGAGCCGGAATGAGACTGAGTGAGACAGGAGAAGGGGCCGGGCCGGGACCACACCTGAAACTTTGAGGGTCTCATGCTCTGTGGCTCCATCCGTTGTTCTCTTTTCACAGTAAGGAGAGTTTTACCACCATACTCTTCCTAAAACCGAATCCCAGCCCCACAGTCAGAAAAAGATAGACCAAAAAAATTAGCTTTATATTTTCAGAGCCATTGCCACCTCCTAATGAGACTTCACAAATCAACTGTTGTTAGAGAACACACGTCTGTATTATCTTGACATAATTGGATCATTGGTGTGTGTTCACAAACATGATATCAAATGCATGTATTAAAAATAAACATGCAGCTTATGAATGGAACTCATAATTATATCATGAACTTCCAAAATAGTCACAAAAAGAACCCCACATTCTTTTTCAACCTTACTCAAGGCACGATTACTGATGGGCTTCTAAGATCACTGAATCCTGTTCTTAAAGAACGTTATGTTCGCCCGAGAGGCGGGCTTTTGTTTTGACGTGACTGTCTTGTTCTCCTACAACCTTGCGTGTTTCACGGCCGTTAAGAGGTTGATTTTCCAGAGCTTTTTCCTGTTAGATGTTCTTCTGTTTTCCTGGCCGCCATTCTTTTTCTTCCCTCCCTGGTTTATTGAAACCTGTTTCTCCTGCACATGTTCTAGCAATTATATTAGGATTGTTGGAGTATGGAATACTCATCGTGTTTAAAAATATTTTTTTTAGCTTATTTTTTTTTAATTTTTTTATTCTGCCCTTGACATGCTTGTTCCATTGAGATATGAGAAGATGGAAGAGAATTTCTAGTTCACCCTGTTTTCATCTCTTGTACCCTTCCTGTCCTGTCTCTTAGCAGTCTTGGTAAAGTTTTGGAACTGTCTCTTAATCTCATTTGAAAGTTGTATTCCAAGTACAATAGAGGTGAAAAATATGATTAAAGGAGAGAAATAGGGCTTCCCTGGTGGCGCAGTGGTTGAGAGTCCGCCTGCCAATGCAGGGGACAAGGGTTGGTGCCCCGGTCCGGGAAGATCCCACATGCCGCGGAGCGGCTGGGCCCGTGAGCCATGGCCGCTGAGCCTGCGCGTCCGGAGCCTGTGCTCCGCAACGGGAGAGGCCACAACAGTGAGAGGCCCGCGTACTGCAAAAAAAAAAAAAAAGGAGAAAAATAATTCTAAAGAACTGGCATAGAGGCAAGAGTGCAAAAGGGAGAAATTATGTACTAATCACAGCTTCTTTGTTCCATTGGAAATAATCCAACCACTAAGAGTATGATAATTACAGAGTATCACGCCTTATGTAACTTAACTTTTAGAACTGAAAGTTATTACTCTGTTTGATGGTGAACTTTTAGGTTCTGGAGATTAATAATATAGTTCCTATAAACGAACTGACTGAAAACTAAGGGTAGGAAAAGCTACAGCGGTCAGATCCTGATTGTTCTTGCACTTATTTCCTGCCATCTATTTTTAGCCTGTCCCTATCTTAGACATGGAAGTTTCAAGAAAGATTTTTCAGATTCAGAGGCTTTGACAGGGAGTGGAATTGGAAGGCCAGCTGTGGTCTCAACTGACATCTTGATTTACATGCAGGAAGAATTTCATTTTAAAACTGCAAGCTCGGAACTAAGTTTCTTCTGTTGGGAATCAGGAATGCTTTTGGTTGCAAGGAACAAAAGTGACCACAAAGAACCTGCTATGGTTTGAAAAGGGAGGATGTATTTCCCTCCCGATGGCAAATGTGGAGGGGCCAGTGCAGCATCCTGGCTGTGTTAGGGCTGCCGGCTCTATGACCCAAACTGTGGCCCACCTTCAGCTGTGCAGTTCATGATCAAGTCTGAAATAATAACCAAACCATGAGAGACCCACGGACCCAGGATCTTGCTTAAACGTGAGGGAGGGAAGGACGACCCGTAGAAAAGCTCGTTTGACCATTTAGAATTTTCTTATTTAGTCAAGATTTTTACTTTATTTCTCACATTTAATTTTCCATCACCCCAAGTTAAAATATTATTTGAAAATTATTATACATTTCAATACCTACTGTGTTTTCTTTAACGTAGTGGAGCTGAGGAACTGTAACCCTCTGTCCTGTGCCCCTCGGCTGGGAATTAAAGTGATAGGGTTCCCCCATCACCCCCCTCACTTGCCCCAGCTCCTCACACCCTGTTCTGTTTGACACGATTCCAAGGAATCGCTGGGGTTTAGGTTCTGGTTTTGTTGTCTACAATAACCTTTTTACCTTTACAAGTAATACAGTTTCATTCGGGACACTTGAAATAGAAGCAAAAAGCAAACTGGATGCCAGCGCTGAAACCATCACTGTCCTTCATGTAAATAGTGGATGAATGTAAATGCCTGCTTATAGACGTCTCCTTAAAAATAAAAAGCGGCTATGTAATTTCTAAAACTGAAATAGAATTCAACTTGCTTGCCACCTACCCTTTTCCCTCAGAAGCCAAGGTCCTGCCCTGGCGTCCTGCCTCGCGCTTTAACTCGGGAGCTCAGGGCGGCCCGTGCCCCTCCACTCACAGGACCTCACCTTCATCTCTGCCTTCCCCCTCAGACCTACTGGTTTAAAGATGGGAAGCAGATCTCTCCCAAGAACGATCACTACAGCATCCGGAGTGACCCTGATGGCACCTGCTCTCTGCATACCACGGCCTCCACCCTGGACGATGACGGGAATTACACGATCATGGCTTCGAGCCCTCAGGTGGGGATGCGCGGTGGCCTCGGGCCTGTGCCCAGGGTGGTGGGGTTTCCCGGGCAGAGGAGCTGCTGCTTGGCTAACGGGGAGTCATGCCTCTTTGACTTGAAACTGTTTTCCCAATTCTCCATCCAGCGTGTTTTCCCAGGATAGAAACATTCTTTCTTAATATTTATCTATTCCGTGAGATGTTTGTCTACATGAATAATTCCGGTGCAGATGTGCATTCTTTCCATAAATATTATTGAGAGCTTGATATGTACACCTGTCATGTGGGTGATGGAGCTGCAGTGCTTCAGGGGATGAGGTCCCGAGACAGAAGATAAGCCAGTAAACAAATGCATAAACCATGTGATTGCGGGTAGGGTTATGTTCTCAGGAGAAAGGAGAGTGAGGGGTATGGATAAGCTGTGGTAGGAAAACTCAGAAAGGAAAATATTTAGAAGAAATACACGCACACCTAATTCAGTGGAATTTAAGTAATGTGTAAGTGTGGACAAATTATAATTTCGATAGAACATACATACAGCATTCAGGATTTTTGTTTGTTTACACCCAGATGTTTTGTAGTTGCCCTTAGATTTAGGGTCAAAAAATCGGTTGACTACTTAGAATTTAACAGACAGCTACTGGGTACCATGTTCCCAATTCAAGCCTGCAAATTCTTTTTTATTGAATATCTTGTATATTTTAGGTGCTATACTGGGTACACAAATATGTAAGAAGTGATTTTGTGCCTTACAAGCTCAACATCTGACTGGGTATTTTATGAAGTCTGCAGAAATCATGTAAATGACGCACTTTTTAAAAAAATTTTTATTTTATATTAGACTATAGTTGATTTACAATGTTGTGTTAGTTTCAGGTGTACAGCAAAGTGATTCACTTACACACATATATATATATATATATATTCTTTTTCAAATTCTTTTCCCAGTTTGGTAAAAAACACTCTTTTTTAAAAAAGAAAGCTAAAGTTAACAGTTTTATTATGTAACTGATGAAGATTGCCCAGAAGTTATCTTTTTAAAAAAAAATCTCTGATCTATTTATATCATTCCCTATTTCATTATTTCTTTTGAAGGAAATATTAAGTGTTAGAAAATGATACAAATAATTTTAGCAAAGCGTACAGACTTCTGAAAGTTTGTACAGTGTTATACTGTCCTCGGGTTACATTGTCATGTAAAGATATATTTCTGCAGTGATGGTAAGAGTGAAACTGAAATTGCCCACAAATCAGGCTGTGATACAGGACAGCCGACTCTGCACTGACAAGAAAGTTTCCAAGTTAACGCCTTCTTGAGGTTCTAACTTTTCAGTCAACGAACACATGACCATCCCTTTGAAAAACAGTCAGAATCACAACCTTTGCTAATAAGTTACATTTTAATGCTTATTTGTGTTCATGTTGTTTGTATTTGAGGGAACGAAAGTGGAACTTTCTCTTTTTTTTTAATTATATTTTTAGTATGTTTCCTTGACTACTTTTTTTTTAATTGCATCTTTATTGCACTTTGTAGATATTGCGTTTCTTACAAATTGAAGTTTTGTGGCAAACCTGTGTTGAGTAAGTCTATCACTGCTGTTTTTCTAACAGCATTTGCTCACTTTACATGTCTGTGTTACATTTCGTAATTCTTGTTATATCTCAGACTTTTTAATTATTATTGCATTTGTTATGGTGGTCTGTGATCTTTGGTGTTAACTACTACAACTCTATTAACCAATTTCGATGTTCGGTTTTCTGCCTCTTAAAAAAGTAGTGGAGTGCCCGACAAAATCCAGAATTTTCCTTCGCCCTGGGTTCTTTATTTCTCTTGTGCCCTGGAAAGGGTAGGGTGGGTTATGGAGCTAGAAAATTCACTGTGTTCCTTATGTGCTCACCATTCCTGGGGTCCCGCTGTCCACCTCAAGGCGTTTTTCCTAGTGAATGTTTTGAACTGTTACTGGAGTGAGCAGTTGTATAGATAGAACAAGAGAAATGTCACCCTGCAGTTTTGCGTCTGCTTCTAGTCTCTTCAGGTGACGTAGCTTTCCATGTGGGGAAGTTCTAACGGGAAGGACCAGGCAGGTGGCAGCGGGCAGGCGGCTGGGCTCCGGGTGGCGGTCTCTGCATGGTTATTAAACCCCTGACCAACCAGGTGAAGGAGGGCTGAAGATGCCCGTTCAACATGGAAAAGGAGGAGGGGCAAAGTCAGAAGACGGAAGTGACGCAACGAAGACCAGGAGTGGAGACGTAGGGACAATTCGGAAGAGTCGGGGGTGCAGGTCGGGGTGCAGAGCCAGCACCCGGCACCGGGCAGGTCTGAGTTGGGTTCTGGACGCGTGGCCTTTAGCAAGTCCTGAACCTCTGCGCCCGGTTCCTCGTCCACGAAGTGAGAAAAATAATACGAATTTAAACGATGCATGTAGAGCGCTTGGTTTACCTGGCATGTGACGGGCTTCCAGTAAGCGCAGGTTGTTGCCACTGTTGAAGTTCGAGGACGCTAGTCCCCCTTCTCGGAGCAGCACCCTGAGCTGGCGTGGAGCCCGGCTGTGTCCCTCCCTCAGCGCCGTGAGTCCAGAAGTCAGTGAGGGCTGGAATCTCTCCCCAGCGCGGTGCTGGCGCGGGCACTTCCAGCCTCCACCCTGGGAGAGGCGTTCCCGGCAGGGGCGGCTCGGTTGCGACTGCACGGCCCGGGCCCCGGGAGGAGGGCTCAGCTGCAGAGCCCACGTGCACAGCTGGGCTGGCGGGAGCCACGCCGCGGCCGGGAGGGGGACCCCCCACGGCGGGCGCTGCCCTCCTGCCGGGCCGTGCGCTCCGCTGCTTCACCGGAGCCCTGGCCACGCCCCCCGTGGCTCGCCCTGTCTGGTTCTTCGCCCTTTACCTTTCGGAGGCGAGACAGAGAAATGAGGAGTGGCCGTTTACCTCAGCTCACCAGAAGCCCGGCTCTTCTAGCAGACTCGCCCGTCCTGTCTGTGAGTCAAGCAAGCAGCGGTGTGGCCGCCCTGGGCCCCAGAGCCCTCGAGGACCCGGGACCGGGCAGGTCCTGATGCCAGCATCCCGCTGGCTCTCGAGGTCGGGCCCCCGAGGATCCTCATTAACGGGGTGCGTTCTCGTAACTAAGCGTCTTCTTTCCTACTGAGATGACCGAAAGGCAGGCGTCTGAGGCGAGGCTCCTGAGGGGAATCTGAGGACATGCTAAGCGTGGGCGCTGGGCCTCAGCCTGACATGGTTGTGAGTCTTGGTGTTTACGGTACTTGGCAGTCGCTCTTGCAAGTTTCTGAGTGAGTCGCCTGGTTGATGTCCGCGCAGGGGTGAGACTCCTCCTCCAGCCGGCTCTTCAGTAGCAGGTGTGTCCACACCTGCCAGGTGTGGGTTTTGTGAGTCATCACCGAGAAACTGGAGTGAACTTCCTACCCACTTAGGAAAACAAAGTGGCATTTCAGCCCTGACGAGCCACGCCCTGTTGCTCTACCTGCTCCGTGCTGCAGGTTGTCGCTTGTTGCTGTAGGAACACGGTGACAGAAATGCTTCACGCTCCATAGTCTCAACTTCAGAAGCAGTATATAGTAAAGGACTTCGCCATTCTTGTAATTTGTGAATGAAAACACGGTTTAAAAGAAGCATGATGTAAATAGGCACTGAAAATAAATCTCAAAAGTAAAAGCTAAGTTTTTCAAAATACGTTAGTCCCAGAAGCATAGCGTGGGGTCCGCTGACCTGGGCTCCCTGCTTCCTTGATGCCCTTTGATACCTTCGTTTTTTTCCACGTTATGGAAGGACTTGGGTTTGGGAGGGAGACAACTCCATCTCTTTACTGGTGCACCGTGGCCTCCACGATGTGAAGTGACCGAGGGAAAGAGGAAAGGGCTGATGGAAAAATGAGATCGGTAATGAAACACGGACGGCCGAGCTCTCCAGGGCAGCGGAAGGTAATTCCCGAGAGCCAGCAGAAGGGGTGAGAAGCACGGAAAGAGGAAAACAAGCTCAGCAGGTTAGTTTATAGAATAATTTTCCACCTGGGTCAGTCTTCAGGGAATAAGGAACACGTTAGACGTTGTTGATGGCGTGCAGTTTCCACCTGGGACAGAACACACTGCTCTGGGCCAGCCCTGGCCGTGGAGCATCCTCAGCCCGGCAGCTCCCGGGAGACAGTCGCACAGTTGAGTGGGACCATAAGGGACTGTGACGCGTTACAGCAGGCGGCCGCCGAACCGAGGGCCACAGGCTCCGCCTACGTCCGACTCTAATCCCATCCTGAAGACACGGCGGAATCGAAACACAAATGTTTGACTTTGTTTTGCTGCGTTGCTAGGTTCCCCTGTCCTGCTCTCTGGTTTGGAATGGCTGTCGTGCACTTGCGTCCTCCAGTTGCATTGTGGGTGTAAGCGGCGGGCTTCCCGGAGACTTGCGGGCCGCAAGTTAGATGTCATAAACCGGGAAACGCAGATGTTTTAATCACTGGCCTTGCAGGAGGCCTCAGATACGCGTTACAAGCTGGATGGTTAACAGAGAACCACCTTAAGAATTCAAACGCCTGGTTTGCGCTATAGCTTTAAACACTGAGGACTTGTCTGGAGTAGAAAAGCAGCGAGCAGCTGAGTTCAATTTAAAAGGCTGGTTTGTTGGTTGTGTGTGTCTCAACGTTATAAGGTTTTCTGGCACCTTCCAAGCTTCCCTTCAGACATTCACTTCCGTTATTCCTTCATGTGTTAATGATAAAGCAAAAAGAAACGAGACGGTTGAAAGCGAACAGACAGCGTTGATGTACCCCTGAGCCTGCAGTGACGGCAGTTTTACTGGGTTAACTGGCACATTTGTAGGATTAAAATCACCGAATGCTCATTTTGGATGACCTTCCTCAGAAAACATTCAAACTTAAAAATCTCGGCTTCCTATCGCGCACATTGGAGGCATCTTTTCAAAAATGCTTCCCTCGGTTCTGGACTGAAAATGTCAGAATTATACCACTCGCTACTTTGGTTGCTTTCTAAGTAGTCCTGTTCACTTGTTATTAGTAATATATTTCGCCAGTATCAGTATATTATCAAACTCACAGGTCTGCCTCCTGAATTCCAGGCCCTTTCCCCTTTCTGTTCCAAAGTGGAGGATGGTGTGGGAATAAAAAGGTGATAAATGACAACATATGCCATTTTCTTAAGTTCGGGAAGTTGAGGAAGATTCTGGGGCAGGATTTGTAGGGTTCTAAGCAATCGCAGTAAAAATCTTGAAAGCGTGCTGGAAGTGTGTACTCTTGACGGAGCAGCATGCCGACCTGTCACCGTGTGTTTGGGAGCGGGGAAAGGAGACAAAGTGCATCCCAGGCACAGGCAGTGCTTAGGGTTGGGCAGGACCCCTTTCCTCCTGGGCCTCGGACGCAGCCGTCAGACACCTGGGAGGTACCTGTGTGCGTGGCGCCCTGCAGGCACCAGCGTGAGGTGGGGAAAGGTTGGTCTGCTCTCCACAGTCTCCCTCCTACGCTTGGAGTACTTGGCTTTTCCTCTGGAGTAAACTGCATCCTAATACCAAAAAGAGAGAGAGAGAGAGAGAGGAAAGAGAGGAAGGAAAAGGAAAGAAGGAAGGGAGGGTGGGTGGAAGGAGGGAAGGAAGGAAACTCCATTCATATGGAAAAAAATGGTGTTGAACAAAACAGTTCCTGTCCATCTGGTGGTTATTATAGTTACATCTGTATCCAGTGCTATAAAAATTTAACATTTTGAGCGTTTAGCATGTGCCAGACACACCACCAAGTACTTGACCCCTGTTAACTCGTTGAATCATCATAAGAGCCCCTCCCTGCAGGATGACCAGCAGGGTCCTGTTCCACAGGTGAGGACCCTCACCTAGGGGTATGTCGCCTGCCTCGTCTTTCCACTGTAAGGGACAGAGCTGGTTACAAACCCAGGGCGAAGGAGCCAAGGGCAGGTATCTGGGGCTCATCCCAGCACTGAGAGCCCTCAGGGGCCAGGGGGCACTGGTTAAAAGAGGCCTCTGAAGGAACCAAACAAGGTAAGAACATACCGCGAGCAAAATACGTCTACTTGGAAAATTTCACTGGAGTCAGACAAGCTGCTGGGCCCATAAAAATCACCTTAATGTACACACCTGATGTCACAGACCCAGAGAAACACAGTACCAGCAGCGGTGGCGGCAGAGTTAGCAGTGATGATGACATCAAGTACGTTTACTACTAACAAGATCATCATGGATTGTATCATTTAATCTTTGCAGCACCCTTGTGAGGTATAGTGCCCCACCTTTTACAAAAGAGGAAATGTAGGCTTGAATAAATTTAGGATTTGCCCAAAGCTTTAGGAAAAAAGTCAAAACTCAAATCCAGGTTAGAGGAATTTTTTTTTTTTTAGCACCATTATCTGCTTCCCCAAATTCAAGGTTAAAGGTTGAATTTAACTTTTATCTTTATCTGACTGCATAAATCATTAGTTAATACTAACTTCCTTGGTGGATCCTCTGGGTTTTATACCACAAGGAAGAATCCACCCAAATTACGTAACTCTTTTAATCTCTCCAAATTAAAATTATTTGCCGAAGCAGCGAAGCAGACAGTAAGGAAACCATATCATCAGTTCAATGGAAGCTGTTTGTGTGAAAACGAAACATACAGTCCCTTGTCCTCAAGCTCCAAAAGGAATCATGGGTCTTCGTGTCCCAGCCGTATGACACATCAGTTGTGTTATTTATAACGGGCTCTTCTAAGCAAGTTATGTCTAGATTTTCTGTAGCAAAGTACAGACCGGGAGGGGTTCGATGGAATTGGTGTACAGATTTCAAGCTAGTTTAGGGAATCCCAAGTGTTCGTAAGCTCAGCGTGAGAGAATTCGTATCGTGTGGCCTGAACTTCAGATACAGTTGATCAAAGTTGGAAATAACTCCCCTCGTAAAGTTATACTTCGTTATACTTGGACATTTTCGGGAAAGGCAGCGCTTGTGGCCTCAGTGGAGGAAGGTGCGTGTCCCGCGGTACAAGACCGCTTGAGTTTGTGTGTTTACAACAGCTCCTGGGTCCTTCCTAACCCTCCCGTCCGTACCGGTACTGTGTCTTTGCCTTTCCTGGTGACTGTGGCCTGAAGAGGTCCAGGCTTTGGGGAGACCCCGAGGGCCCCTCCCTGCATCCTGCCGTGGGGTCCCCCTCCGTGTCCCCGCCAGCATCCTCTCAAGGGGGGGACTCAGAAGGCGGTTCAGGACCCACAGAACCCCTCTGCTTTGGTCACCTGTTTGGCCACCTGCAGTGACAGTGGGGGTCAGGGGTCAACTTTACTTTGACTCTAAGCGCTCCCTTCAGCCTGGAGCTATAGAACTCACCAAGGATGAGGGTGAAAAATCAGTCTGCGTGTCATGTTCCCGCCCCGCGTACTCCCTCTCGGTCATCGTGAGGGTCTAGGTGTCCTCCTGCCCGGCCTCCGGGGCCCTGCGAGGAGCGAGCAGGAGGAGACCATCTGCTTTGCTGCTCTGCTGGGCGTAGGGAGAGGTGAGTCCCGATCAGAAGGCGAAGTGACAGGGCCATTGATTCCTGTCGCCCGGCCCCTCTAAGGGTTGCTGTGTGTCCCGAGACAGCACTTATCCGATTCCCAGTTGACAAATTTGAGGGAGAAGACAGCGCATGTAGCCAGATGTTATCATAACTTTATGTGGGGTATAATCTATAGAACTATTGACTCACTGTGTTTTACACCTGAAACTAATATAATATTGTTAAGTGAACTATACTTCGGACAAGATCAGGTGTGTTCAGGGTGGTGGGGTGGCTGTAGACTTTATACTTCAAATAAAACTTTTTTTTAAAGATTATAAAATACAACTTTTCATTATTAGAATAGGCCCTTATCATGTGACCCTCATGGGTTCAGGCATTAACTGCTTCTGGTTTTAAAAGCTCAAATATTCTCACTTTATGGGGCCAGGGTGTCCCATAGTCGTCATGCTCCTTGTCGCCCCAGGCGTGCTTGTTACGTAACGCTTCTTTTTTCATGCCGGCCGCCCTTTCAGTGTGCGGTTTGGGAAGGGATACCACGAACATTTAATAAATATGTAACTAAAAAGAAGACTGAAATGATCTGGTTTGATTTCAGAGTTAGCTCCACGCAGTAGGTATGTAGCCTTGAAAGTGGCCTCGTCACAAGACGTCCCGGGGGGCGTGTTTCAGAGACGGGCTGGGGGGCGCGCTGCTGCTGCGGCGCGCAGGTCTGCGGGGAAGAGCGCCCTGTGGAGACCAGGGCAGCCGTGGCGGTGACGGGGGCGGTGCTGGGGCGCTGGCCGCTAACCGTCGGTCCCCTCTGTCCCCGCAGGGCCGCGTCAGCTGCACGGGACGGCTGATGGTGCAGGCCGTGAACCAGAGAGGCCGCAGCCCCCGCTCGCCCGCCGGCCAGCCTCACGGCAGAAGGTACCTCTCGCGGCCCTTCCCGGGCGCTGCTGCTCACTGTCACTACAGCCCAGCGCTGCCAGCATCTCGGGGACACCACGGGAGAGAACGTACTTGGGGGACAGGATGGGGACACAGCAGGAAGCGTGGTGGCGTGTGGCTCCTTTCTAGTTGGGGGCGGGGTGGAGGACGTACCGGCTGGGCCTGGCGCCCTCCGACACGTGCCGCGTGTGGGCGGGCGGCAGCCACGTCACCCCGGACACGCTGGCCGGTGGCACCCAGGCTCTAGCCACGCTTTCCTCACCAGCATCACATGGGCTGCCCCCTGGGTTTTCTAAGATCGGCTCGTGTGCGAAGGTTCCTTGTCTGGTCAAGGCTTAGGTCACAAGCTTGTCTCAGACCCTAGCCTCGTAGGTCAGACTTGCCCCGTGGCCCCGAGCGAGTGCACGTGAGGATGGGCAGCGGGGCTGTGGTTCTCAGTGACACACGTGGCTACAGATGGGGCCGGTGACTGGGCCATCCGGCCCCTGGGCCTAGCACAAGGGAGGACATGCCAGTGAGGCCACCGGAGGAGCAGGACATGGCAAGCAGCAGCGGGCAGGCCCACGCCCCACGCGGGCTTGTGCCGGCGTTTGGGAGGCAGCTCCGGCCTCAGCACTCGCAGGTTTGATGCAGGCTTCTTGGGGCGGGACTTGGCGCACAGCATCACCTGCCCTCGCGCCTGTGAGCACAGCACAGCTGCAGCAGGTCCGTTCTCTCCGGCTTCACTCGGGGCCTTCCGTGCATTTCAGCCCTTTGTGGGCCACTGACTCCTGAAGGGGCATTGTGCTCGTAAATGAGACCTGATGGGTGAAGGCTGGTGATTACTAGCGTATTATACTGATTTTTCATTTGCTTTGCTCCTACTTTTGCTACTGAAGTGTTTCTTAACTTACCTCCCAATGATCTCCGGCAGGGTTAGTTTCAACCCCTCACTCCTAAGTCTTCCCTGCAGTCACTTTAAATCATACTGCTCTTAAAGGCAGCTCTGGTAGCACACTCAAAACCAAGAAAGGTGCACAAAATCTGGGAGATGTGCACAATTTTATGTTAAAGCAAAAAAAAAGAAGAAAAATGACTGCCTTAGGCATATGGTTAACGGATACAGAAGAAAACCTGCCTAAAATGTGATTTGTTTTCCTGGTTAATATGAAAAGAAATTTTTATTAGAATGATATTCATTCTTTTTAAATAATAAGAACTTTTAATTTCCTGCAAGTTTACAATCACAGTGGAAGCTGTCCTGATTTCTGTTGAAAAATATTCGGTAATAAATGAGCAACAGTTGCTGCTGCTTCTCATACAGCTTTAAAAATATTTATTTAGGGAAGAATGGGTTACTGTTAGTTCCCCATTTTCCCCTTTCACGATTTATGCTAGCTGTAAGGGTTAGGATAGCAGATTATTTGAAGTCTGCAATTAGCAGATTATTAAATGTATAATAAACTTCCAAACGAAACAAGATTCTGTTTTACTAACTTTCTTTATGGTATGAACCCTGGGATTAGGAGCTAGGGAAGCAGGTAAGGAAATTATATTATTGCCCCATGTATTATAGAGAAGAGATAACTAAGAACCTGACAATACCTACTATTTATGTATATTACCTATCATTTACGTGTCGTTCTCTTTCCTCCTCCTCCCCCCTTTCTTTCCATCTGTCTGTATTTATCTATGTGTCATTCTCCCTCCCTCTTTGTCTGCCCCCATCTTTCTTTCCATCTATTTAACTATATTTGTGGCATTCTCCCTCCCCTCCCCCATCTTTCCCTCTGTGTGTATCTGTGTGGCATTCTCCCTCCCTCTCTCTCTGCCCCCATCTTTCTTTCCATCTATCTATATTGTCTATCTTTGTGGCGTTCTCCCTCCCCTCCCCCATCTTTCTTTCCATCTGTTGGTTTTCTCTCTCGTCCGAAGGTCTCGTTCGAGATCCAGGGACAGTGCCGACGAAGGTGAACCGATTCAGGAGCGATTCTTCCGACCGCACTTCCTGCAGGCTCCCGGGGACCTGACGGTCCAGGAGGGCAGGCTCTGCAGGATGGACTGTAAGGTGAGGGGCTTGGGTGCCTCCCTTCTCCCTGCAATACCGCTTCCCTTTAGTTCCTTTTGGGGAAATTATGTAAAGTATACATCTTTAAAATGTTTCCTAGCAGAAGAGGAGAGAAAATGAGTGGAACATACTAGTATTTATATACGTTTCAAATCATTCTTTTCCTTGATTTTTAAGTTTTTGTTGAATATGTCCTTTACCTAGAACCCTGTGTACCATACTCCAGAAGGTGAACTGGGAGGTTTTATCCCTCAGAGTCGCCCTTTTTGTTGAAGTAATGACTGTGTTGGATCTGTTCTCTGTCCTGATCTTACTTATATTTACTCTGTTTTCATACAAATTTTGTATCCACACACCTATTATCTCAGGCCTCCCATTTCCTGTTTCTAAGAGACATCCAAGCAGCACCTTCATTCCGTCGACAATAGGGCTTCTTAACCAGGTCCTGGGGTGAGCAGGTCTCATCAGGTGTGTGGGCCTGAAATTACACAGGAGGTTGTATGTGGTACACCTGCCATCAGCTTCCCCAGAGGACCTCGAGGCCAAAAATGTGTAGGAATCACTGGTCTGAAATTTTTTGATTGTTTTTGCCCCATTATTTATTGACCTTAAATTTAAATTTTAGCTCTGAAATATGAATACGCTTTTAAAAAAGTAATTTGGGCTCTCTCTGCTGGTTGTCTCTGGAATTGCAGAACACAAGATGTAAGGCACTTAGAGGGTTAACTCTGGGCTTGTAGAAATGTATAAAAAGCTTGTAGAAATGTATTAAAAATGTATAAAATACTTTCCAGCATAATTTTTCAATATAAATTTATTATTTTTTGGCTGCGTTGGGTTTTCGTTGCTGTGCATGGGCTTCTCATTGCCGTGGCTTCTCATTTTGGAGCACAGGCCCTAGGCGTGCGGGTTCAGTAGTTGTGGTACGTGGGCTCCGTAGTTGTGGCTCGCGGGCTCTAGAGCGCAGGCTCAGTAGTTGTGGCGCACGGGCTTAGTTGCTCCGTGTCATGTGAGATCTTCCCAGACTAGGGATCAAACCGGTGTCCCCTGCATTGGCAGGTGGGTTCTTAACTACTGCACCACCAGGGAAGTCCCTCCAGCGTAATTTTTTTAATTTTTATTTTATATTGAACTATAGTTGATTAACAGTGTTGTTAGTTTCAGGTGTACGGCAAAGTGGTTCAGTTATGCATATGCATGTATCTGTTCTTTTTCCAAGTTCTTTTCCCATTTAGGTTATTACAGAATGTTGAGCAGAGTTCCCTGTGCTCAGTACGGTAGGTCCTTGTTGGTTATCCGTTTCGTAAATAGTAGTGTGTACGTGTCAGTCCCAGTCTCCCAGTTCATCCCTCCCTGCCCCCACCCTTCCCCCCTGGTAACCATAAGTTCATTCTCTAAGTCTGTGAGTGTGTTTTGTAAATTAGTTCATTTGTATCAATTTTTAGATTCCACATATGGTCTTTCTCTGTCTGACTTACTTCACTCAGTATGATCATCTCCAGGTCCATCCATGTTGCTGCAAATGGCATTATTTCTTTCTTTTTTATGGCTGAGTAATATTCCATTGTGTATATGTACCACATCTTCTTTATCCATTCATCTGTCAAGGGACACTTAGGTTGCTTCCATGTCCTGGCTATTGTAAATAGAGCTGCAGTGAACATTGTGGTACATGACTCTTTGAATTATGGTTTTCTCAGGGTATATGCCCAGTAGTGGGGTTGCTGGGTCATCTGGTAGTTCTATTCTTAGTTTTTTAAGGAACCTCCATACTGTTCTCCATAGTGGCTGCATCAATTTACATTCCCATCAGCAGTGCAAGAGGGTTCCCTTTTCTCCACCCCCTCTCCAGCATTTATTGTTCGTAGACGTTTTGATGATGGCCCTTCTGACTGGTGTGAGGTGATACATCGCTGTAGTTTTGATGTGCATTTCTCTAATAATCAATCAACAGTGTTGAGCATCTTTTCGTGTGCCTGTGTATGTCTCCTTTGGAAAAATGTCTGTTCAGGGCTTTGGCCCATTTTTTGATTGGGTTGTTGTTTGTTTTTTGTTTTTTTTTGTTATTGAGCCACATGAGCTACTTGTACATTTTGGAGATTAATTCCTTGTCAGCTGCAGTGTTTGCAACATAATTCTTTTTACAGTATAAGCATACAGATTGAGTTTATATATATACAGTGTGTATATATTTATATGTGTGTATTTATTTGGGGTCTGTAACTGAGAATTCATACAGACCACCCGTAAAATGACATTTGAGTCCACAGGGGAAATTTTCTTTTAGAAAATTAGATGATACCAAGGGATTACTATTAATTTTAATTTTAGGGAACTGTGACTATGTAAGAAAAATCTGTTCTTTTAGAATGATACTTCATAAAGTATCAAGTATAAAGTTTGGGGTCTATTTTTAAAATATGAAAAATTACAAAAGAGAGCGAATCTAGGTGATGGCTACATGGAGATTCACAATATTATCGGCTCTACTTTTGATCACATTTAAGAAAGAAATCATAGCACTTTATTTTTCTGCGAGTGACACAGCTGTCCTTGAAATGCCTGCTTTTAAAAGAATATTGGAAACAAAAGGTAATCTGTTGACTTTATTGTTATGATCAGACCTGGACAAATGTGGAAAATCTTTTCCAGTGTATTTACGCTTTAAGAGGGAAAAAAGAATCATGGGAACAGGCCAGTCGCTAAGGCAGCTGCTGGGCCCCCGACTCGCTCCCCGGACACTGACTGCCCCGGCCGGCTCTCGGCCTCCGGGAGTAAACGCCTCTGCTTCCCCCCGTTCCCACGGCAGCCAGAGCCGCCCACCTGTCCAGGCTGGGGCCCGCTTACAGTGACCCAGTTCCTGAGGTCAGGCTCGCCTTGCTGGCCTCAGAGGGAGAGGACTCGGCCTTCCCCTCTGCCCGGCCGCGCAGCTCTGGCCCAGGTGGGCCCAGAGTGCGTGCGGCGTCTCCCTCCTAAACCTGCTGCGGCCTCGCTGGTACCTGACCGGCCAGGAGGGCCAGGTGTGCAGCCCCGGGCGGGAAAGCCCACCCCCTTCCTCCGTGCACCTGTGCTGGCCCGACAGGTAGAGCGGGCGTGGAGCGCCGGGGCGGCAGGTGGACGGATGGGAGGCTGCAGAGCCTGGCCCGCTTTTAGCCAGTGATTTGTTTTCTGTAAATCCCTAGGCCTTTGCTGTGTGTGTTTGTTGGGGGGTGAGGCATCCTGGGGGCAGTATACGTGAGCGTCACACAGCATGAGGGCAATTTGTGAGTTCTCTGGCTGATTTTGGCAGAGCTGATTCTCAGAAGAATTGGTTTACAGTCCCACTGACATCCTTCCGTATGTGATTTCCCACTGGTACATTTGGGGTAGGGGTGAAAGGGCCTTCCTTACTGGTGCTTTTCTTCCCGTTCAGAACGCAGGGCCCTAGAGTAAAGAGCTGACAGACGGTGGCCACCCCTTCCCTCACTGAACACCATACTATTAGCCATTAAACGTGCTTTTGTCTGATCTCTGGTCAGCACGACTGTCATGGTCTGGAGAGTGGTTTTGTTTTTTTTTTTTAACGTTTCCATTGTGAGGCTAATTTGTTGAGATGGCTTTCTGGGTAATTTCGTATGGCTCCTATTACTTTCAAGGATTATAAAATAATAACAGCCCTGTGTCTTAATGGCTGCATTAACTAATGTCTCCGCAGCTACAGCAGCCTTGATGAGAGGCTTTGTCGTGAACCATGCGAGCTGAGTGTGAGTCCTTGTCATGGTTGGACATCTTTTTTCCAAAGGGCTCAGAGCCCTGGGCTGACATCACCCTCGGCATCTTTATAACCTGGGTGAGGAAGGACGATGGCGAATGTTTTTAGTCCCCATCTCACTTTTCTCTGGGTTGCTCTATAAGAGATGTTCAGAAGTGAGCCCGTGTGTGCCGAGAAGCTATTCAAAGATTTTAAGCAAAAGAGAAATGTGGGCTTCCCTGGTGGTGGTGGTGGTGCAGTGGTTAAGAATCCGCCCACCAATGCAGGGGACACGGGTTCGAGCCCTGGTCCGGGAAGATCCCACATGCCACGGAGCAACTAAGCCCGTGCACCACAACTACTGAGCCTGTGCTCTAGAGCCCACGAGCCATAACTACTGAGCCCACGTGCCACAACTACTGAAGCCCATGCGCCTAGAGCCCGTGCTCTGCAACAAGAGAAGCCATCGCACTGAGAAGCCCGCACACCGCAACAAAGACCCAACGCAGCCAAAAATAAATAAATGAGTGAGTAAGAAATGTGACCTGATGCTAAGAGCCTCATGTTGTCCTGAAGGAGGAGCCTGTGCCGGTGTCTTAGGTGTTCGTGACTTCGCTCTGTTTCCGTAGCAGAGGAATTCATTCGCATTTCTTCCCGGTTTAGGTCAGTGGGCTGCCAACCCCCGATCTCAGCTGGCTGCTGGACGGCAAGCCCATCCGCCAGGACAGCACCCACAAGATGCTGGTGCGAGAGAACGGGGTGCACTCTCTGATCATCGAGCCCGTCACGGCCCGGGACGCCGGTGTCTACACGTGCATGGCCACCAACCGGGCTGGCCACAACTCCTTCAGCCTGGAACTCGTGGTCGCAGGTAAGTCCTGGGAACCTCTCCCCGGGTGAGCGTCAGATGTAGAAACAAACTAACCCATGTGGAAAGTACATCAAATCGCTGAAAAAAAAATAGACCGTTATCATCAACGTGTTAAGACCTGGCAAGTCAGAAACATCACTTTTTCTTCGCTGTAGCCATGGTTATTTTTCTTCCCTTCCCCCGTCAGCCTGGCAGCCAGAGAAGAGGGTTTGAGCAGTTTTTCTGGGCCATTCCCCTTCTCCTGGGCCCCCAGTGTCACACGGGAAAAGCAGCAGCAGCCCGGCCTCCAGGAACCAGATGATGTGGGAGAATGTGCTCATGCAGCAAGTTCTCCACGTAGACCTAGCTTTTGAAGCCATGTGCAGTGATTTCAGAATTCAAAACTTTGAAACACTGATCTACCCCCCATGTCATAAGACAGATTAAACTCACGTTTGCTTTTTAATTGACTATATATCTGTACGAAATTTACCTACCAGAATAAAGTTTTACCCTTAGGTATGGGAAATGAGTTTATGGAAAGGTCTAGTGTCCTAGGAGCTGAGCATGAATAGAGAGCCTGTTCTCTGTGCTCATCTGAAAAACGCAGCAGAACGGAGCGTTTATTTCTCATCACTGCGTGCAAAGCGCTCACTTGGTCCTCACGGCAGCCCCATGAGGCAGTCAGCCAGTGGGAATTAGAAGAGAGGAAGTGACTTTCCCAGGGGCCGGGCTGCGGTGCCCCTCTGGTGCCGGGAGCCTTCGAGCTCCTGGGGGAGACAGCAGCAGCAAGGACGCAGCAGGCGGCCCGGCTACAGTCTGCGCTAGGGATTCTCGTGACAACAAACACCCAGACGTGTTCACACAAAAACATGGGCAGCGAGCAGCCTGTGTGTCAGACCCGCTTCAGTTTCACTCCTTCCTCCAGCCCGCCCTCCTCAAAACTCAACTGTTGCGGTCCCCCCGCCGACCATACCTGTCCCCACGCCCGAGGTGTCCCTGTCGGCACTTCCGGGGGAAGTCGGGGCTCGGCTCCCAGCCCAGCCCTCGTTTTCTGGCTGTGTCCTCTGGCAGGTCCGTCTCTGCAGCTAAGCGTCCCCAAACGGAAAAGGGGGGCCACGGTGCTCAGAGTTGAAGGACTAAGTCGTGGCACAAGGACGAAATCCTGTGAAGCTCTGCGTCCCCACGAGCCTGCCTAGCCAAGCTCCAGAGGTAGCTGTGATACCTACTGTGGAGGGTCGCTGCGACCTAAAGGCCCGTCTTACACATTTATGCTCTTTTGAAAACTGGGACCCAGGAAGAGCACCAAGTGAGGTCTCTTCCCAGAGTAGCCCAGGTCAAGTAACCACAAAAGGTCCAATAAAAATTAACCCTCTACATAATTCAAGGTCATAGAGGGCCTTAGGTTTTTAAAAATTTCAGGTAGAACGTTCACCTTTGTTTTGCTATTATTTGTCACAGAGGAGGGAGTGCAGAAGGCCGCACCCTCAGACTCATTGTTGGCGGCTAGGGTGATGGTAGCTAAGGCTTCCTCTTCCTCTGGGACTGTTCCCACCGCAGATCCAAGGGAACACTGAGGGTGCTACTAACAGTTCTGATTTGTCCAGACTGGGTAATAGTCGTCGTTTTCATAGCTTTGTTCAAAGAAATACAAATTGGAACTTGTATAGAATGTACGTTCCTAGTGTTGAGGTAACTAGTTAAAGCTGCCTCTCCTCGTTTCCCCCTTTGTAGCCTGTGGTATGTCTCTCTTAAGCCAGGACCTAGAAATCTCAGACTGTCTCGGCCAGCAGGGCGGGAATCTAGGGGGTCAGCGCCGCTAGATGGCAGCGGTGGGCTCAGGCAGGGACCCTCATCGGTCAGCAGCCTGACGGAGGTCCCCCGAGAGCACACAGGCAGGCGCTCTGGGGAGCAGGTGCGGGCCTGTCGGACTTGAACTGATTGAGGAGAGAAAGGCGTGGAATGAAGGGTAGGAACCTCTTTTGGTGGAGGAGGGATAACTTGGAGAGAGGACAAGCATCCTGCCACCTGAAGGGGAAAACGACGTCAGCAAAGTTGAGCGGTATTGCTGAAAGCACCTCCATTCTTTTGTGGTCCCTTTTGCGCCCGTCACGGGTAGGTAATCCGTCTCGTGTCTTCGCAGCTAAGGAAGCGCACAAGCCCCCCGTGTTCCTCGAGAAGCTGCAGAACACGGGGGTGGCGGACGGGTACCCGGTTCGGCTGGAATGCCGGGTGTCCGGGGTGCCGCCGCCACAGATATTTTGGAAGAAGGAAAACGAGTCGCTCACTCACAGCACGGACCGCATGAGGTGAGAGCCCACGGGGCCGCCCCCACCCGCAGGGGTCCTGGTGGTCCCAAAGGAAGGTGCACAGCACGCGCCTGTGTGCGCCGCCCCCGGGCCAGCCCCTGCCCCCGCGCGCCTGCGCTTTGCGGAGGCGGCTGCCCTGCTGTGTGGTGCAGCAGCTCCCCGCCTAACGCAGGCAGTGCTTTGCGGGGTCAGATGCTCCCCCTGGGAATTAAGTGCTCGGCTTCCTTCAGCCTCCCGGCCTCTCTGCTCTCTCATTAGCTGTCACGGGCTGGCGGCCTCTGCAGAATTAGGAGGATCCTGTTATCCGCTGCTTGCACAGTTCTGTTGCTCATGAGCTAATGAGAAGCGATGCTTCGCGTCCTGAAACATTTCGAGCCCTATGGCCATGTCTGTCTTTTGCAGCCTGCACCAGGACAGCTACGGCTACGTGTGTCTACTCATCCAGGGAGCCACCAAGGACGATGCTGGCTGGTACACGGTGTCGGCCAAGAACGAGGCCGGGATCGTGTCCTGCACGGCCCGGCTGGACGTCTACAGTGAGTACCCCTCCCTCTCGCCTCGATGCATTATTGGTTCCTTCAGTTACGACAAGGTGGGCGTCAGCACACCTAGTCACGTTACTCTGATCTGATCAACAACTCTAGCGCTTAATTTGCCAGAAATTTCACACTGCTCTTTCTCTTTCTATTTATAGTTTGTCAACATTAATAGTGAACCTCGCCAGAAGAACAGTGCCCAAGTATCACTCAGGAACTTTGCGTTTTTAGCAAAACGTGCATGTGGATTTCTCTGGTGTCGGCTACCCAGCTGTGGCTTTCTTACCCAGCACCCTTAGGGGTTAACACCAGGCAAAGGCATAAGCACAGATTTTTCACATTTTGTTACTGCCTTGTGCAAGTGACTGCCTTTTAACATTTCTCCCTAAGCTATGATCCTGTCACAGCATCTTAATTCACTCTAAACGTGTGGCCCATTGAACCTGGAATGCATCCTTTCTGTGGCTCAGTGCTTTGTGTTAACATATCTTAAGTAGTTCAGCAGTAGGTTTGTGTTTGTGTACGTGTATTTGTGTACATGCATCCCAGATTGAAAGAAAAAAGTTCTCACTAAGTTTACAAACTAGCCCAGTAGCATTATGTGATGTAGTGACAAGAAAACCACTAGGAAGAATTCAGAACTGGTTTCACACATAAGAAATGACTGACCTCAACCTTCCCTATCGCCCGGTTCCTTTCAAACAATTTGCGTTAGAACACCCATCCAGAGTACCTGATGACTGTCATTACTGTGGCATTTATACATTTTGAGCTTTGAAGTTTTTTTTCAAAGTGAGAATCAGGAAGTGTAGCAGCCATTTCAGAGGACTCCCCGAGCTGCAGTAAGTACTGACTATCAAGATAAACCACACGCTGTCTCTGTTCCCGAGCTGTTGTAGGCCCACCACCCTGTGCAGGCAGTAAATCCGCAACATGTGAGTAGACTGCAGAACCACCCGTACACTTGAGGACTTCTACCGTGGATGTGTTCGGTCTTTTGCTAAGAACACGTGCCTGGTACACAGCCAGAGCCATGCTACCTGGTTACAGATTCTGAGTTCCGTGTTGTGTCTTGCAGCCCAGTGGCAGCAGCCCCCGCCAAGCACCAAGCCGAAGCGGGTGCGGCCCTCGGCCAGCCGCTACGCCGCGCTCTCGGACCAGGGACTCGACATCAGGGCTGCGTTCCAGCCCGAGGCCAGCCCGTCCCACCTGATGCTGAGCCCCGGCCTGGTGGAGAGCGAGGACCTGTGAGCCGGCGCTCTCCGCAGAGCCCAGACACTGAAACCACTGCTGCCTTGACCCACACCTCCTCTGTCACGGGACGTAAAAGGCAGAAACATACCTTTGGCTCTGAGAAACAAAAGGACACCAAAATCCTACTTTTCTTCCTGGTAAACCAGACGTAGAGGCTGCGTACGCGATGCTGATAGGAATGCACACCTTGCACGGAGAATTCACATTCATCAGCCAATTTAAAACCTTGGGAAGTGCTGCACTTCAGGGGGTCTGAAATGCCAAAGTGCTAACGGAAAAAAGGTGACCACGACCTGTGTTGTCCCGAGTGTCTTCACTAGTGTAGGTGCTGCCACCCAGCATGAGGTCGGGGGGCTCCCCGGAGGTGGCTGCACCACGGTGGACACCGCCTGGGCTCTGCGGGGCAGTGTGCTCACGCAGCCAGGGACCCACGTGGGGCATGGGACAAGGAGGGCGCCACCAGGAAGCCCAAGGAAACGCCTGTCTGCGAATGGCTTTCCACTAAACCGTGCGGAAGGAGCCACCTGCCTTCAGTTCTGTTAACATCAAGAGTTTTCTAACTAGGTCAAGACCTTCGTTCTTAACCTTTTTTTCTTTACGTGTAGTATTTTCTTTTCTTGTTACCTTGGTAGGGCGCTTACTTACAAACCATATTAAAAGAATGCGACGTACTCTGAATAAAGAAGAAGCATATTGCAGTCCATTCCACGAAGGGCATCCCAGCCACCCAAGTGACCAAGGTGTGTAGTATCTGGAGGAGACGGGTCTGGAAGGGGCGGAGAGGAGAGGGAAAGGAAGCACGACCAGACAGACTGTGCTCACTTAGATGAAAGCAGCAGAGCACGAGACGGTAAAGGCCAGGCTTTTCTTTGGTTTTCTTCAAACTTAACCTAAAATAGAAGCGACAAAACACCGCCATTCGCAAGTCAGGAACTCGAGGGTCAGCCTGAGGGAAGCTCGTGCTCGGGACACTGCAGTGTCGGAGCTGGCGCCGCAGCGGGAGATTGAGGTGCGCACTGCAAGTTGAATATGGGCTGAGCTGCGAGATTGTCATGGATCAGAGACAGCCTGTGGGCGCTAGTCTACTTGGGGAGACAAAGACGGGGGTGCCAGCATGCATTTTCTCCATGGCACTGCCCTACGGTGGGTGGAAACTATTCACTTCCCTGCTGCCACGAGACCTTTTGCCTTAAGAAGGTGCTGGGTTCCAAGTAGTTTGTAAAGGCATCTCGGCAAAGACTGCATTCTGAGTGCCTGTGAGTCTGCGTCAGCTAGATGGAGTGGGTTCTGACCAGACTTGACGGTTTTAAGTCAGAACCAGTAAACTTTAAAAAGGAGAAAAAAAGCAAATCTGGGCTGATACTATAAAACCTGAGTCTTTAATGGTACTTTCCTATGAAGAGAACACACTGTATTCCTTATGCAAAACACATTTATCTTTCGTTATTTATAATACAAATGTTGAACTCTCTTAGCTCAGTTACTCCATTCAATACGTAGTATTTTTTAAGTACTTCTGTATCTGTGTGCCACCGTGTATATCCCATTGCACTGCTTCACATGGACAGCTTTCTACTTCCTTGTAAGAGCACCAACCAAGCGAGCTTTAAATGCCAGGCTGGAGCTCCGGTGCCCACGTTCGGTGCAGAGTGGCACACGTGTCTCTGACCACACCTACGTGCATTGCTGATGTCGGATTTCAGACACCGTGCGAAGTCTCTCCTGGACCTTTCTGTACTGTAGAATTATGACTTAACATCATCTCTTACTTGCCAAATTTTTCTGAATGTGACTTCTTGCTGATTTGCTGGGTTTGGGATTAAGTAGCATTATTTTGCCACCTTTCATGTATTTATAAAGAAATAAGTACGATCTTACCACTCTGGATTGTTGTGCTGGTGTAATGTGGATTTAACATCAATAAATATTTAACAAATAATAGTTGCAATTTTGTGAAGCAAATATTCAGTCGTTTTCATTTTCTATTGCTTGCTGTAATAAACTGGTACAGACTAGAACCACTGTGTCTGCTGCAGTGCATTCTCACCTGAGCGCAAGCGCCTGGGACAGAATTGGGCTCCTTGTGGCTGTAGGACGGGATCCCACGTGGTCTGTCAGCGGGGGGCACTGGGCTGCTACAGGCCGCGTCACCCCCCTTCCCTCACCAAAACCAGCAGTGAGAATCTCCCTTGGGACAAATCCCTCTCACGCTTTGACTGTGGTCAAGGAGAGTCCCGTGCCTTTGAAGGGACCATCTGATCTGGGATCTGCATGTGGGTGAGAGAGAAGGGGGGTGCACCCCAGGGTGGGGGACGCAGGCAGCCGGCTCAGAACCCTGCCTGCCTCAGCAGTTTACCAGACATGTGCCCGTGAGTAACAGTGGATCCTGTGATCCCCCGGGAAAGCGTCCTGCAACCACATACCATAGCCGCTCTCTTAGGGATTAAGTATACGGGGTTCTGGCTCAAGAGGTCCTCCCCCAGACACACCAGATCCGCTACTACATACAGACCCATTTCCTCCGAAAGAAACCTCAGGTGAATGAGAACAGACCCACGTCACAACAGGAGGGGCTGAGGCACAGCCTCACTGTGACCCCCACTGCCCAGCACGGTGACCCACAGTGAGGAGGGAACTCAACCCCCAGCTTTCCCCGGGGAGTGAAGGGTTTGAACCCCTCACCAGGACCCCACCTTTTAAGGCCTGCCTCTGAGACCAGCCCCCAAGACGTGTAGCTTTGAAAGCCAACGGGGCTTCTGTCCATGAGACAAGGCTGTGGGGCACTGGGAGATGCTTCTTCCAGGGCTGCATGGACTGGGCCAGCACAGAGGCCGCCGACTGAAAAGCGCCCAGACCCTCTGTGAAAGAGGCTTCTTTGCTTACGTTCAGCCTGAGGGACAGACATCTAGCTGGACACGTGTCAGGCCAACCCGAGTGCTCTCCAGAAACCCCCAAGGGCAGGCGCTGTCTTCACGCCATCCCTCTGCCTCCAGATTGCCACTAGCTCCCGTAAAGGGGCCCGTGCACTGGCCTGGGGCCCAGGGGACACCTGAATGGCCTAGCTCTGCCGGCCAGGGGGGCTTACATTTGCGAGTCCCATAAGTCTATAACAGAGAAACAGTCCTTACCCTGCTATCCCCCGGGGCAGAGCACACAGGCAGCACACTGAAGCACCCCACTCTCTCTGTGACACAGGGCAGTGGTCTTCACAGCTATGGCATAAGGGGCAGGCTTCTAATTAAACACACACCTAGGGGCCGACTGCAGCCCTCTCCAGAGGGGGGCCCTGTCCCAGTTCACCTGTGTCTCGAAGAAAGGAGTGGGCACATGAGTAGCAACCAGGTGTGGCTGCCACCCACTGTGATTTTAAATCTTCCAACAAAAGTCCAGGACCATAAGGCTTCACAGGTGAATTCAATCAAACATCTAGAGAAGAGCTAACACCCATCCTCAAACTCTTCCAAAAAATTGCAGAGGAAGGAACACTCCCAAGCTCATTCTACAAGGCCACCATCATCACCCTGATACCAAAACCAGACAAAGATATCACAAAAAAAGAAAATTACAGGCCAATATCACCGATGAACATAGAGGCAAAAATCCTCAACAAAATACTAGCAAACAGAATCCAACAAAACATTAAAAGGATCATTCACCATGATCAAGTGGGATTTATCGCAGGGATGCAAGGATTCTTCAGTATACGCAAAATCAATCAATGTGATACAACATATTAACAAATCGAAAAATAATAGCATTATCTCGACAGTCCTCGTGGAGAGTCGCTGCAGATTCTTGCTTCAACAGTGCTTGGATGGAAGCCAGCGCTCGTCCCCCGCTCCGGCTGGCCGCTCAGAGCCAGCCCTCGCCACCACCTCACAGCGCCCTCCGACTGCCCCAAGGTCCCTGCCGCCGTTACAGCGCCGCGCAGCCACCGCCACCGTTTCACCTCAGCCGCCCGCCATGACGACCGCATGCCCCTCACAGATGCGCCAGAACTACCACCAGGACTCGGAGGCTGCCATCAACCACCAGATCAACCTGGTGCTCTACGCCTCCTACATCTACCTGTCCATGTTGTACTATTTTGACCGCGATGATGTGGCTTTGAAGAACTTTGCCAAATACTTTCTTCCCCAATCTTGTGAGGAGAGGGAACATGCTGAGAATCTGATGAAGCTGCAGAACCAACGGGGTGGCCGAATCTTCCTTCAGGATATCAAGAAACCAGACCGTGATGACTGGGAGAATGGGCTGAATGCAATGGAATGTGCGCTACACTTGGAAAAAAGTGTGAATCAGTCACTGCTGGAACTGCACAAACTGGCCACTGAGAAAAATGACCCCCATTTGTGTGACTTCATTGAGACTCATTATCTGAATGAACAGGCGAAATCCATTAAAGAATTGGGTGACCACGCAACCAACTTGCGCACGATGGGGGCCCCTGAATCTGGCATGGCACAGTATCTCTTGGACAAGCACACCCTGGGAAATAGTGATAATGAGAGCTAAGCCTTAGGCTGGCTTCCCATAGCCACAGGGGTGACTTCCCTGGTCACCAAGGCAGTGCATGCATGTTTGGGTTACATTTACCTTTTCTGTAAGTTGTACCAAAACGTCTACAAGTCCTTTCCTTAGTACCATTCCTTCAAATAAAGTAATTTGGTACCCACCCCCCCCCAAAAAAAAAGCATCATCTCAATAGACACAGAAAAGGCTTTTGACAAAATTCAACAGCCACTTATGATAAAAACTCTCCAGAAAGTGGGCATAGAGGGAACCTACCTCAATATAGTAAAGGTCATATACGAGAATCCCACAGCAAACATCATTCTCAATGGTGAAAAACTGAAAGCATTTCCTCTAAGATCAGGAACGAGACAAGGATGTCCACTCTCACCACTATTATTCAACATAGTTTTGGAAGTCTAGCCATGGCAATTAGAAGAAAAAGAAATAAAAGGAATACAAATTGGAAAAGAAGTACTAAAACTGTCACTGCTTGCGGATGACATGATACTATACATAGAAAATCCTAAATATATTACCAGAAAACTACTGGAGCTCATCAGTGAATTTGGTAAAGTTGCAGGATACAAAAATAATACACAGAAATCTCTTGTATTCCTATACACTAACAACAGAAGATCAGAAGGAGAAATTAAGGGAAAAATCCCACTGACCATCGCAACAAAAAGAATCAAATACCTAAGAATAAACCTACCTAAGAAAGCAAAAGACCTGTACTCAGAAAACTACAAGACACTGATGAAAGAAATCAGAGACAACACAAACAAATGGAGAGATATACCACATTTTTGGATTGGAAGAATCAATATTATGAAAGTGACTATACTACCCAAAGCAATCTACAGATTCAATGCAATCCCTATGATATTTCTTAAAGAATTAGAACAAAAAAATTTTATAATTTCTGTGGAGACACAGAAGACCTCAAATAGCCAAAGGAATCTTGAGAAAGAAAAACAGAGCTGGAGGAATCAGACCACCTGACTTTGTACTACAAATCTCGAGTAATCAGAACAGTATGGTACTGTCACAAAGACTGAAATACAGATCAGTGGAACAGGATAGAAAGTCCAGTGATATACCCACATACATATGGTCAATTAATCTATGATGAACAAGGCAAGAATATACAATTGGGAAAACACAGTCTCTTCAAGAAGCGGTGCTGGGAAAAGTGGACAGCTACATGTAAAAGAATGAAATTATAACACTCCCTAACACCATACACAAAAATAAACTCAAAATGGATTAAAGATATAAATGTAAGGCCAGACATTATAAAACTCTTAGGAAAAAACATAGGCAGAACACTCTTTAACATAAAACACAGCAAGATCTTTTTTTTTTTTTTTTTTTTTATTAGCCGGGCCCTTTCCTTTTTTCTCCCGTTGCGGAGCACAGGCTCCGGACACGCAGGCTCAGCGGCCATGGCTCACGGGCCCAGCCGCTCCGCGACATGTGGGATCCTCCCAGACCGGGGCATGAACCCGTGTCCCCTGCATCGGCAGGCGGACTCAACCACTGCGCCACCTGGGAAGCCCCTGGCTGATTCACTTTGTTATACAGCAGCAACTAACACAACATTGTAAAGCAATTATATGCCAATAAAGATATAAGAAAAATAGAATATTGAAAATAAAAAAAAATAAACAAAGGCCCTAATTAAACATATAAACTATTGTACAGCAAAGGAAACCATAAAGAAAACAAAAAGACGACCTCAGAATGGGAGAAAATATTGGCAAATGAAGCAACCGACAAGGGATTAATCTCCAAAATATAAGAACAGCTCATGCAGCTCAATATCAATAAAGCAACCCAATCAAAAAATGGGTGGAAGATCTAAATATATATTTCTCCAAAGAGACATACAGATGGCTGAAAAGCACCAGAAAAGATGCTCAGTATCACTAATTATTAGAGAAATGCAAATCAAGACAACAATGATACCTCACACCAGTCAGAATATCACCAAAGAATTCTACAAACAATAGTGTATTGTTTACACTGTTGGTGCAAATGTAAATTGATATAGCCACTATGGAGAACAGTATGGAGGTTCCTTAAAAAACTAAAAATAGAACTATATGACCCAGCAATTCCATAATTCAGAATGATACATGCACCCCAATGTTCACTACAGCACTATTTACAATAGTCAAGACATGGAAGTAACCTAAATGCCCATCAACAGAGGAATGGATAAAGAAGATGTGATACATATATACAATGGAATGTTACTCAGCCATAAAAAAGAACAAAATATACATGGGTGGACCTAGCGACTGTCATACTGAGTAAAGTCAGACACAGAAAGACAAATATGTGATATTGCTTATATGTGGAATCTTAAAAAAAAAAAACAACGGTACAAATGAACTTATTTATAAAACAAAAGTAGAGTCACAGATATAGAAAACAAACGTATGGTTACCAGGGGATGGGGGGGAGGGATAAATTAGTAGATTGGGATTGACATATAACA